CCGGAGGAAGAAGTGCATGCAATGGTTATATCTATCTATTTATCATCTATCTATCTATCTACCTACCTAATCTGTATCAAATATTGGCCTTCTCAAGTGTGGGGTGGGGAGGGAGGAAGGCAAGGAAACAGTTTGTAACTTAAAATATAACAAAAAATTAAATTTGATTGAAAAATTTTAAATGTATATTCACTCGATCCTATTTTGTCAATGAATGTTTTTAGATATATGCTATTTCACCTCAAAATTGCTTTGACTGCACCTGGAAATTTTATTTTCTTGTCATTATCATTGACTTTCACAAAGTTTTCATTTTTATTTGTTATTCAAACAACTTACTATTTAGGAATTATTCATGTTGTTTGTTTTTTTCTGTACATTTCTTTTAAAATTATTTATTTAATATTTTATTCCCCCCAATTATACTTTAAAACCATTTTTAACATTCATTTTTAAAAATTTTGAGTTCCAAATTCTCTCCCACTCTTCTTCCAACTCCTCAATGAGAAAGTAAGCAATTTGATATAGGTTATAAATTTGCAGTCATGCAAAACATATTTGCATATTAGTCATTTTGTGAAAGAAGGCATACACAAAAAAGAAAAAGTTTTTTAAAAAGAATGCTTTGATTAGTACTCAGACTCTATCATTTCTTTCTCTGAAGATGGATGGCATTTTTTATCAGAAGTCATCAGAATTGTCTTGGATCATTGTGTTGCTGAGAATAGCCAACTCATTCAAAGTTGATCAACACACAATAATTTTGTTAGTGTGTATAATGTTCTCCTGGTATTGCTCATTTCATTTTGCATTGGTGCATGTAAGTCTTTCCAAGTTATTCTGAAAGTGTTCTGCTCATCATTTCTTATAGCACAATAGTATTCCATCACAATCATATACCAGAATTTGTTCAGCCATCACCTCTGTTTCCACTTCTTTGGCACCACAAAAAGAGCTACTATAAACATTTTTGTACATGTAAGTTTTTTTCCAACCTACACTGTTCCTTTTTCTCTGCTGGAGAAAAATCATCCCTCTCTCAACCGGATGTACAAATGAGTTTGGATTTCCCAAGTTGGTAAAGGACAGAATTGGGAACTAAACATAATCATGTATTGCATCATTACTGACTGGCCTATCTTAAACAAATAACTGCTAACTCTGAATTCTAAAGAAATTTTCTGGTACAATTCTATGAAAATTAAGAAATAGAGCTTAAGCTTCAAGAGTCATGAGTTATGTGTCCATTTTATCCTAAAGTAATTCATAAATAGCTACCTAACTGACTCACCTGAAATTTTGGTCTTTCACTTTCATCTCTTCTGCCACATCTAACAGTAAGAAGCTCTACAGCACTCAAAAATGCCAATATTCTAAATGCCACTGAGGAAACTACATCTTTGACAACTATCAAAAGAATAAAAGCTACTTACTGCCAGAATATAATTAAATGGATAAAATTGTTAAATACGTATATTAGTGACTTAAGATTGTACCAAAAAAAGTTAGTACTCTATAAAATAAAAAAAAAAAAGCTAAATAGAATTACCTGGACATCAAATAGATCTCAGCAAACTGATTTAAAGACTACTCCAAACACTAGACATATGCTTTGGTGATCAGACAACATAGAAAATCCAACCACTTACACACACTCCGTCCCCAAATAAAGTACGTTTATGATTTTTCATATGAAAGTATAGCCATTTCTTCTTCTTTGTCTTCCTCTTCTTCTCCCTCTTCTCCACATTCTCCATCTGTTTGCTGTTCAAGTTTTTCTTTTGCAATCATTTCAAAATCATTCCCATTTCCACTATTCCTATGAACTTTTCTACTTCTTGTTTGGTCAAATCTACATAGATCTAACAGGTAATTTCTTCCATGTTCTTCTAATTTCTTTATAATGTGACCTTTTATGTTTAAACCATTTTCCCATGTAGAGCCTCTCTTAGTATATGCTGTGAGATGTTGGCTGACACCTAGTTCCTGCTAGACCACATTCTAGTTTTCCCAACAGTTTTTGTCTAATAGTGAATCCTTGCCCCAACAACTGGAATATTTGGGTTTATCAAATACTAGACTACTGGGTTAATTTGCTCTTGTATATTGGTTACCTAATCTGTTCCACTGATCAACTTCAATATTTCTTACCCTCTACCAAACTGTTTTTAACTATTATAGCTAGGTGGTATGGTTTGAGATATGGTGCTGCCAGGTTCTATTCCTTCTGATTTTTTAAAAATTAATTTCTTTAATATTCTTGACTTTTTACTGCTCCTAATGAATTTTCTAATTTTTTTAATCTAACTCACTAAAAAAAATTCTTAAGCAGTTTGATTGTTATGGCATCGAGTAAGTAAGTTAATTTAGGTAGTATTGTCAATTTTACTTTATGCACTTAGCCTACCCATAAGCAATTAATATTTCTATTATTATTTAGATCTGTCTTTTATGTGTAAAGAGTGTTTAGAGTTTTGCAAGTAAACCATTGTTATCATCTGCAATAAGTGATGATTTTGTTTTCTCTTTGTCCTATTGTTTGATTTATTTTTTTCTTATAGCTATAGCCTGCATTTCTAGCACATATTGAATAGGAATAGTGATAATGGACAACCTTGTTTTACCCCTGATCTTACTGGAAAGGCTTATTTCCATAATAACTCTTAGTTTTAGGTAAACATTATTTAACATTTTGAGGAAAGCTCAATCTATTCCTATGCTGTCTACTGTTTTTTTTTTCAAAGGAGAAGAATATTCTACGTGACCATATCCGTGTCAGAGAAGGAACTTGGTAGGACTTCTCTTTTGCCTATTTTTCAAAAATATTTATGTAGCATTGGAATTATCACATGGTAATTATAATTACTTCATATGATAATATATATTCAAATAAATATATAAATAGGATTAATTATATTAGTTATTATAATTATAATGAGCTATTCTTTAAATGTTTGCTAGAAATTATGTGTCAAAAAATTTGGACCTAGAGATCTCTTCTTTGGAAGTTAATTTATTTTTCTAAGATAGAGTTAATTTTTTTAAGATAGAAGTTAATTTATTTTTCTAAGATAGAGTTATTTACATACAGTTAATCTGGGCAGTTTATATTATTGTAAATACTCATCCATTTTATTTAGGCTACAAGTTTTATAGGCATGGAGTTCAGCAAAATAGCCCAACAAAGTAGCTCTTAATGATTTTTTTCTTCATTGCTTGTGAATTCAACTTTTCATTTTTAATAATGGTAATTTGATTTCTTTTTAAACAAAGTTCACTAATGACTACTTATGTTACTGGTTTTTTTCTTCAAAAAATAGCTCCTAGTTTACTTATTAATTCAATCTTCTTTGTTGCTTTCAATTATGTTAATCTCTCCTTTGATTTTTCAGGATTTCTGTTATGAGTTATTTTCTTTTGTTAGTTTTCTAGTCTTTTAGTTGCATGGCCAATTCATTTGCATTCTCTTTTTTAAGTGATAGGGTAAGATTGGTGATTTGAGTTTAACATATGATTTTAATGAACAGTGTAGAACATGCTAATGAACTTACAAGAGGTGAATTAAAAGCAATAGATCTAAGTGAAGTCCCAAATGAGATTAGGATCAATTTGTAGTAATTTCCACACAACAATGTGGGAAGTAAATCATATAACTGTATGGAGATGACTGGTTAATGAGGGTCCAGTCTTTAGAGTATGCTTGGATTTGCCCTTTCTAGTTTATCATACAGAATGGGTACAGATATTTCAATCTACTCATTGGTCCATGAGTATTTGAGGAACTGGTATTATGTGATGATGGAAAGCCTTCAAATTGGCTTCAGAGATGGTAAGATCTAAAAGAGGTCAAGCTAGAACTGTGGGCATGTACAAAAGATTTGGGCAGATAATTTCTTGGTCTCTTCTCTGACAGTTTTCAAGTAAGGAGAACTGATTTGAGTTTCTTTGAGGAGGTGGGGAGATGGGAAGAGATGGCCAGTTCCTCAAACTGGCTGTTACTTTTATGTTTATTCATTTTTTCTTAAGTGAGCAATTATACTGAAATAGAAGTGTCAACACACAGCGAGTTTAGAAAAATCATCAAAACTGTCAGAAGTTCCATTGGCAACTGGAGTCTAGGAGAATCCATAGGAGAAGGAGTAGCCAATGACAGAAGTGCCTGAAAATGGAGGCACAAGACAATCCTGAGAGGACTGTGGAAGCTTCAGGGATCATCCGTTGTAACATAGATAAATACTGTCCATGGACTTTAGAAAGGCACCAATCTTTGGAGCCCAGTGAAGAGCTACAATTAAGGAAAACTATAATAGAATTCCACAAAGACAGAAAGAGACTTCCTGGGCCAAGTATTAGTTTGTCATCATGGCCTCACATGTTCCTGAAAAATGTCCTTCACTTCCACTGTATTTTAAATTTGAACCAACAATATCCAGGCATCTTCTGTGTAGAAGGGGAGAATGTGCCCACGGACTAGGGAGGAGGGAGGAATTTTGTAACTACTGTTGTTACTATATTCCCAATCTATATCCTCTTTGTAAAAGTGAATTGATATCAAGTGGCTAATTAGTATTAGGGGCCACATAGGATGGGGATTCAGGAGCTATAGCATTATAAGCCACAACCCTTCACAGTTATCCTAAAACCCTGAGGAAAATAGATTTATTCCCTCTGTGATCCTAACCTGACAATGTAGTGCAAGTTGGACTATACATATTTTGGCTCTTTGGCTTTCTCCAGAAATTCTCTGAAACTGAAGAGCAAAAATTTGAAAAGCTGTCCATAAAAGTGATTCAAGGTTAGTAAAAGGCATGATGTAAGAAGATTAAGGCAATAGGGAAAGCCATCTTATTAAGATTAGGCAAACGGGAAGGGTTTTTTTAAAGTAGAAAATTATGATTCTTTGCAAATAGTTTTCTCTTAAATAAACTTACTGAATGTCAATAAGAACTAAGCATCAAAAAGAAAACATGCACATAAAACATCACTTACTTTTAACTTACCTTTGCAAACTTTGCAGCAGCTATGAGGTAAAGTAATATGGTGGGAATCTGGACAATTCAAGGGCTGGCAGACTGAATTCTCAACAAACTTCATTGTTTTGTCCTGTCAGACAAAAATTTCATCATACAAGACCAATTAATATTTTGGAATTCTTATTTATTGTTGACTATGAGAGTCATGGAATATGATTGACCCTGGACTTGTTGGAATAATGGCCCCCACTTAACTTAAATTACTAAATTCCCTCCTCCCTGGTTTGTTAGTATGGTCTCTTGGCAAAAAGTTACACAAAGCCACAACTGTCAGGTTGTGATCCAATATGCAACACTGAGAATGAGAAAAGATATTTATGCTTTATTCAACTAATGTTCAAACTAACAAAGTAATTTTTATCACATTACATTTTATGTAATGTAAATCAAATACCCATTAATTTTAAAAGTGCAGTATGAAATTTAAACAAACCATAGCTGGGACCAGATGTTAGATGCTACTGCCCCATATCCAAATCCTCCTTCCATAGAGCCATTTAGATAAATGACCGGATCTTCTAGTTGAGGGTCATGTTTGAACATGAGTAGTGAGGGTTACAACATTAATAATACATATATATATGCCTTACATCAGAATTTTTAAATTCATTTTCTACATAATTATAAATTTAGATATCTGGTATTTGTAAGCTGTTTAAAGGCAAGAACCACTTATTAACCACTAATTAACTTATTAATTATATTGTAAAAACAGAAAGAAGTACAGTATATCAGAGACAGAAGATACTTAACAAATGCTGAATAAATTAATAAGTTAATGGATGAATATAATCTGTCTAATAATATCAGGAATGACCTAGAAGTAAGTATTGGCTTTTATATTATCTTGGAGTTAAAATCTATCCTTCCTTTAGTACTGACAGTAATTCCAAATCTATTGATCTCATCTTGAGGGTTACCATGTACTCATACTAATATTAAAATTACAATGTAATAACACATTTCTTCCTTAGTTCAAAGCAAAAAAAAAAATCCCAACCACTACAGAGTAAGGAAAACCCCAGGGACTGATATAGGTAATCCCTAGACAAAAAGGAAAATGATAGGTGGTGAAAAGTTGACAATACTGGAGTTGTAGGACATAGAATGGAGAGAAATTAATCAGAAGAATTCAAGCCAGGATCCAAATAGGTTCCATAAGAAAAAAGCTTGTATTCCAAAAACAGCTTTGCTTCTCTAACTGTAATAAATTGCAGACACAATGAGGTAATGACTAAAATATAACAGTACTGAATTTAAGCAAACCCAATAAAATTATAAACTTTAAAAAAAACCATTAGAATGATGCAAATATTTGAACCACTTCTATAACCAATGCACATTTAAATATTCAGTCTATGCTAGCCTACATTTATAGTGCTCCACATATATATTAGTTAAATTAATCCTCACAAAAACCCTTGTGAATTGGATTCTACTGTTGTCCCACCTCCAGTTTACAGATAAGAAAACTGAAGCTCAAAGACATTAAATGATTAGTTAGTTCAAGGACACAAATCTAGCACTTCTCTGTGGCAGGATCTTAATTTGACTTTAATCCAATGCCTTATTCACTATTCTAAGGTGCCTTTTGAGATCACATGTGTCGATATATTTGAGCAGAGGTCTAAATGAAAAAGTTTTGTTCCCCAGAATAAGCTACTTGACCAAGTTTTATAGCATTCCTAGAATAAGCTTCTTTTATGCATTTTCCACTTTAATAGTTTCTAGATCTTACCACAAATTTTCTACCTTTTTATGCACGGTGGGATTGCAATGAAAAAAATTCTACTTTATGATTTTCATTATAGGTAATCTGTATTATGATATAGATTCTGCTGGGAAATTGCACAATTCACTTTAATTTTCTGTGGCTCAGATCTCTTATGCTGAAAGCTAATTTAAAAGAGAAATAATTTTGTCCGTCTTGACCTACCTCGACTTGAACTTCAGGTAGTTATAGAATGTAATCATGCATTATGAGGTTTTAATGTGTTAATAAGGTGTAACATTCTATGACTGCTTTACAAAGTGAGAACACCTCTTTGGTTGAAGAAGTTTGAAGAAGAGTTTGGCTGAGGAAACAAATTATCTATGTCCCTAGGTGTTGTTATCTTTTCCTATCTTTCTCCTTTCTTCTTTTACCTCTATGACCCTTAATGGCATTAGAGTTCTGAGAGAACAAGAGTTATCTCACCTTATCAGAATATAAGCACTCCATCTTTTAATTTAGTCCCTTTTGATTGCTTTCTCATTTTCATTTACCTTTTCACATTTTTCTTGACTTGTATTCTTGTATTTCAAAGTTTCTATTCAGCTCTGGTCTTTTCATCCAGAATGCTTAGAAGTCTTATTAAAGCTTTTTTCCATGAGTAAAAGCATACTTACTTTTGCTGAGTAGTAAGCCTATATCTTTTCCCATTTGTAATAATTTATTCCAAGTTCTCCCTCCCTTTGAGGTGATAAGCTGCTAAATGTTGTGTGATTCTGACTCATTGCTTGATACTTGAATTCTTTTCTGGCTGCTTAAAGTTTTTTGTCTTTGACTTGGAAGCTCTTAATTTTGGTTATGACATTCATGGAAATTTTAGTTTGGGGTTTCTTTTGGTAAGTGACCAGTGCATTCTGTTTTTACTTTTCCTTCTGCTTCTAATATACTCCAACACTTTTACTTCATGATTATTTAGAATGTAGTATTCAGATTCATTTTTGGTCATGGCTTTAAGGTGGTCCAACAATTCTTAAAGTACCTCTCCTTAAGAAAGCCTTAAAATATCTCTTAGATAAATTGTTTTTGATAGGTAATACTTTACATTTTCTTCTATTTTTTTTCCACAGTGTTTTGACTCTCTTTTAATTGCTCTTCCTTTCTCATGGAGTCATTAACTTCTATATGCTCCATTATAATTTTCTGGCAGTCAGTTCCTTGGGAAAAATTTTTTAACCCTCATATTAAATTATTCATTCTGCTTTCAAGTCTTTCCTCCAATTCTTGTTCCAGGTCTTTCCTCCAATGCTCTTATTTTTCTCCCAATTCATTTTTCTTGTACCTTAATTTAATTTATAATACCAACTTTAATTCTCTTTATAAAAACATTTTTAAAATCTCTTCCAGGAATTCTAGTTGACTTTCTGGCTAAGCTTTACTTCTCCTTGGGGCTTTACTAGAGTATATTATTTTCTTTTTATGGTTATATATCTTTGGCATCCTTGGACCAAAACAACTCTTCATGGTGGGAGCCTTTTTGGTTTATTAAGATCAAATTGAAAACCTTTACTAAGATCAGACATTTCTGGAGGGGATCTGAAGGTCATATATGGTCCTGATTTTTATTCTTTGAAGCCAGGAGGTTGCTTTCTCAGAGTACTAAGAACCGTGCTCTTCAAAGATCTTAGGAGTGGCACAAGAGGACAACTTGAAATCTTTCATTAGGTCTTAAGCAGTCTGATATAGTTTATGTAAAAGGAGACCAGACTGACCCCTCTTGGTTTGAACCTTTCAAGCTTAACCTTAATCTAGGTTTGTCCTTGGTTAGAGTTCTGGTAGCTTACTGTCCCCAGCCCCTGTCAGCTACATGGAAGCTTCTGCACTTTCAGAGAAAAAGAACTACAGGATTCCCCTTGGTCTGAATGCCCTGCCCTGGTCACTGAGCTTCAGGCCTCAGACTGGGCTAGAAGCTGAATCCTGTACCTCATTGCAGGGTTTCTGCTTACCTTTATTCCTGTTCCTTGTCTAGTACACAGACATAGGTCAGGTCCAACCTGTATCCATCCCTGCTCCATGCCCTGGTCAGCCTCAAGCCTCACCATCAATCCCTTTTTATCCATGCTGTATCCACAATCTAGCTCTGGGGTTAGAACAACAGCTGCTGACTGTCTCTGTTCCTGGTCCCACATAAAATTAGGCCTTCCTTTTCTGGGGACACAGCAGCAAGTAAAGCCCATGCCTAGCCTCAGGTTTTCTCCTCAAGCCATGCTGCATTTGCAACCTAGCTCTGAGGTCAAAGTGAAAGAGTTGCTCCCTACCCTTGAAATATGACTTTTCTCTTTGCATCTCCTAATCACTGATGGGGTATGGGCCCAAGCCGAGATCTTCTCCCCTTGTCCCAAAAGGAATCTGGCTCTACAGCCCCAGCTCCTCATCTCCCTTTGAAAGCCCTTTTGATCTTATTAAGATGTGCCTTCACCTTCAACCCTTGCCCTAAAAAGAAGCTGGCTTCCATTTGTCTACAGGCCCCAGAAAACCCTTAAACTTTTCTTACTCTGGTCTCAAATGGTTCCTTATCAACTCCCCTTATCTCCCTTTGAAAGCCTTAGCCCCACCTTTTGATCTTATTCAGATGCCTTTCAAACTTCTTCCTTCCAGTTCCTCTCATTATCTATTCCCATTATCTATTCAATCTCTTAGACATTCCAGTCAGAATTCTCACCTAGACCCTTTTCCCAGACCCTTCTCTGGTCACCCAAAGTTACTTTAGTGTATGTAAGATCCACCCTGGCCTCCATTTCAAACCTGAGACTCTCTCATGACCAAAAAGCTGAGACTTTCTCATGCCTGCTTGTCCTTATGCACGTCACATGGCCTATATGGTTTATCTCTAATAAACTTTTTCTCTGGCTGAAAGAAGATTTGGGTTGAATTCATTCAGACAGGGCCTACCTACGTTGCAATCTCAGAGGTCCCAGCACCCCTAAACCTCTAGACCTCATCAATCTCTACTGGGTATGGTTCTTGTCATACATCTTTGTGGTAGTATTTGTGGAGTAGAATTAGGCTGCTCTGCTTCCTCTTATTCCACCACTTTGGCTGATCTACCCTCGTGGTGTTTTAAGTCCTAGATAAGAATGAGAGAAACTAGCACTTGTACCACGAGGGTGCGGTGTGCCCAAGAAGCATAAAAACTACAGCATGGGCCCCACTGGCAATGGCCTTGGGCCCTGGGGTAACCTTTGCCTGGAAGTATCACCCAGGTTCAACACATCCTGCTCAAGGTAAAGAAGCTAGTTTCCAAACTTGGGTAAGCATGCTCTTCTTAACTGTTAATGATGAGGTGTTGATTTTCTGTGTAA